AGACAGGGGTCTAGCTGAGTTGCTTAGGGCCTCTCAAAGTTGCTGTGGCTGACTTTGTACTCATGGTCCTGCCATTTCAGTCTTCCAATCCACAGGGATTACACGAGTTTGCCACCAGGCCCCATCTATCCTCTTTTTCATTAATTAGAGGAACTGAGAGTTAAGGGTAGTAGGTTGATTACTTTGGTTCACGGAAAATTAGTATGTAGTAGAGGTCAGATCTCAGCTAATATCTTTCTGATTTCAGAATGTATCTCTTTCTCTGCATCACAATGTGTTTTTAATTGCTCCCCCCACCATGAGTGGGAAAGAAGGTAAGTTAGTGGTAAAAATCTTATTGGACTTGTATTGCTAACTATATTTCAATTTCTGTTTCATGTGATCTTTTTTTTTAAATAGGCAATGATACGGGAAATGATGATGCCATCGGAGGAAATGTGAGCAAATATATGGTGCTTCCAACTGGATACTGTGGACAACCCAAGAAAGGACATCTTATTTTTGATGCTTGCTTTGAAAGTGGTAAGTATATTAAAGACTTTTGCCTTTTTGAGTTTGTCTGGGGTGAGACTCTTTTTTTTCAGAATTCAGTTCCACCTGACTATTCAGAATGATTCAACCCACTGACAGAATTAACTTGGGAACATTTAATTGCTAAAATTGATAGTATCATTAATTTGGAATAAAACTGTATAATTTGACTGTATTATAAATTGTTAGTTATTGGATGTTTACTTTATAGCGGGATCTATCATAACATGCTCATAGAACATAGTCTTTGGGATAAAGGAGATCTTTCTTATGAAAAATTATTATGGAACAGATTTAATTGAATACAAACAAAAGACCAAAATTAATATCACTGCATAAGTAACAAATGTTGTGGATTTTCTGAAAGGGGTGGGGATAAGGCTTTTATTAACCTATTTATGTCCTGAAACTTATACTCTGAAGGACCTATAGTAGATACTCAGAAGGTGTTATAAACATTAATAACAAATAGGTATGGGGCTGGGGATGTGGCTCAAGCGGTAGCGTGCTCACTTGGCATGCCTGGGGCACTGGGTTTGATCCTCAGCACCACATAAAAATAAAATAAAGATTACTTCGGTGTTGTGTCCACCGAAAACTAAAAATTAAATATTAAAAACTCTCTCTCTCAAAAATATAAATAGATATAATTTTATTTTATAAATAAGTTTAAATTTTCTTTGGTTCTGAATAATGTATGCTTGTTTGTGTGCATGTGTGTGTGTGTGTGTGTGTGTGTGTGTGTGTGTGTGAATGTGTATGTATGTATGTATCTGTCTGTTTGAAGGTATATCCCAGTTTCAGTTTTATGACAGTTCTTTGAATCTTAAAAACATAGGTTATTTATATCAAACAATTGGAAATTTATTTTTTGCATTGTCTCGACCTTTGATTATTCCACATTATGTTATTTCAATATGGCTGGCATAACAAAATTACAAAAAACAAGTAGAAGATTAAACAACATGAATCTATTGTCTCTGGTTCTGGAGGTTAGAAGTATGAGATAAAGATGTTAGCAGTGTTAGTTCCTTTTAAAGGTCATATGGAAGAACATGTTTTATGCTTCTCTTCTAGATCTGATAAATTGTTAGTATAGGCATCACCCTGATCTGCCTTCATCTTCATATGGTTGACTCCATTTATGTGTTTCTCTTTCCAAATTTTCTCTTTTTATGAAGGTATCAGTCATATTGAATTATAACCCCTTCAATTTATCTCATTTTAAGTTGGTTACTTCTGTAAATACTTTGTCTTCTAGTAAAGTCATATTGTAAGGTACTTGGTTTTAATATTTCTATATTATTTTGAGGGGACACAAATCTTTCCAGTCAGTTCTGAGTAATGTCCACATAGTTAGAAACAATATCCTCAATTTTTAAAGAAAATATTGTACTATCTACAAGAAACTTAAAAATAATTGTGCATAAATGTCAGAAAGATAAATAGAGGGAAGGGAGCAGGAGACTGGGAGAGGGAAGGGGAAGAAGAGGTACTGGGGTCTGAATTAGAACAAAGTATATTCCATGCTTGTAAAATTATGTCAAAATGGATTCTACTGTCATGTAGAACTAAGAAGAACCAATACAAATATGTCCTTATGGCTTTGATTTTTTTAAACTTAGTTAAAGACTAGAAGGCCTTTATAATAAGGGATCATGAGGATTGGGTTTATTTTTACTTTAAAGATTGTCTTGGTTTACCTACAGCTTGAAATAATTCATTTTTCTTTCCTAGACATCTTTTCATTAACCATACTACAGTCTTTTTTTCATACCTTACCAGAATTCTCAGTATAAGGATTTGTCTAATTTGACCACAAATTCACCAAATGAATAATAAATATTTTACTCACAATATATGAATAATTGGCTCTATCACTTAGATCTGTGCTAATCTCATCCAGAAACATCCTGACAGACAGACCAAAAAATGATATTTAATCTGGACACTACTTGTTTTGGTTGAGTTGACAAATAAAATTAACCATCATAGAAGTAATAGTCAAAAGAAAGTTCTGTTGGATGAGTATAAAAAGGCAATGTATGAATTTCTATCAGTTTGCTATAGGTAGTCTATAAATGTAGTTGTGACTTTTCTGGAAACCAGTGCCTTGAAATAAAATTAATAAGGTCCTAAAAACTGATAGAAATTATTCCAGTTTGGCTTTCTAAAATGGATACTGAAATGTGATGAACTGTGATATAACTCTGGTATTCACTGCAATATAGTTCATCAGGGCACAACTTGTAACATCCTTCAATGTAGGCTGAGGGCATAATACTAAAAGGCATTTTAGTGAAAGCAATTCAATTGCCATTTAAAACAATTTGTTTGACATATGCATGTTTCATCTGACCTAGTTTAATTCAATAATTTATCTTAGACAATTTAAAATAGGGATGTCAGAGAGGTTCTCTCTTATGTTCAAGTCTTGTGTGCTACTGTGGCTGACTCATGTGCTATGTTGTAAAAGATTCTGAGGATGCATCCAGATGTACTAATAAGGTATGAGTGTTTAATTCAGTCAATGAATTGAGAGCATTGGTTCACGTGAATGAACTATAATGCTTCCAGACAGACAAGCCTTCATAGGTATTATTTTTTTCTTTCAGAGTTTTAAAAGTGTGTAAAGTGCCTAGCACATTCCAAGGCATCTAGCTGGTGGCTAATTAATCTGTTTTTCTTGTAAGAAATAAGGCCTGCAGGTTAAATATAAACTCTCCTGTGAATCATTGATCTCTTTTTTTCATATTTCCTCTCTGTAGCTATTGTTTCCCTTGGGGAAATAGGTGTACCATCCTAATTTTGTCATTCTAGAAATGCTTTGCACATCATATTTTTAAACATCTTTTGGTTCTCTACCAGAATATAGCCTGCTTCCGGACAGAATCTGAGTGTGATCAAACCAAGCAGATGCTTACAAAATGAATACTCAATTAATATTGTATTTGTTGAATGAAGTCATGTAAACAACAGAAATATGGGGAATGCTAACTTTCGTTCCCCAAAGCCATCTTATTCCCAAAGATATCTTTGATAAAAAAGCCATTTTAATTGCTTGTCATTCTCTAATTCTTCATGTTTTCTCAAGCTCTAACACCTTTGAAGACACTATTTTCTTTGTGCCCCAGTTCCCTCTCTCTACCTGGTAGTACCTGTTGGGCAGGTTTAGTTGTCCCTAACTCTGTGTTTATACACATTGCTTCGGGGCTTTTTAATAGCTCATATTGCATTGTAATCATTTAATTGTCTCTTACCTCTTCCTCATTACTGAAGTCAGAATAAATCTACAATGTAGGAATCCTAGATTGTTTCTTCCCTGTCAGAACTTAAGTAAGCGTTGTATATTTAGATGGGGATCTCAGGAAGCTCAAGGGAGAGAGTATGGAGAATTATCTAGTGAAAGAAGAAAAGCAAATAAAGATTGTATACTTGAAAACACACAGCAATGGCTGTAGGCAGATTAGCTGTGATGAGAGGAAGCCAATGCCATAGGACTCATGTATAGTTTACCTATCTCTGCCTCCATGCTAATTTCTTCTTTGTCCTGTTACATGATGCTGACTGATCACCTGGTTTTTCAGTGTATAGTCTGTGGTAGTGTTTCCTTTAGAACATTTATTATCTTAAACATATATTTTTCTGGATAGTACTTCAAAATCAAAGATCTGCATGCTTTGTACTCATTTTCATAGCTTGATTAATAAAATCTTTCCTCAAACTTTTATGTGTCCAGTCTTCCAACTTCACTATCTCCAGTCCCCCGAACAACTCATTGCCAAGCCATTTGCCATTGACAAAAGTCCATGTATATCCTTACCTCATACTACTTTCCCCTCCCTACAAAGTATGTGAGTATGAAAACTGCTCTAACCTATGTCTATCAGAATATTTTCCTCCAACTGAAGTCCTATAAAGACCACTATATGGGACCACCAGGTAACAATGTGTAGAGAACAGAGGCCATAGATATGAACTTCTTTTGAGGCCATAGGTATGAGTTTAGGAAAAGGTATTGGTGTAACAGGTAGATGGCATGAGAGTCTAGGCCACCTGTCACTTAAGTTGAACAGTTACTTGATGTGTCATGGTCAGATGCTTGGCATCTAGTAGGCCTAGGACTTTGTCAGCAGCTGCTTTTGAACTGATAGTTTCATTCTGCAGAAAGCATCCCTTGCTCTAGAACTCCAGAGGTCTTCTTGGTATATATTCTTTAGTATTTTTTCTAATTCACTTTTGCCTACTCAAAATTTGCTGCTTTCTGAGTCTCCTGATAATGTGGGCAAGGCAATATTACCAAGAATGGAATAGGCCACAAACACAAAGAGATCTGCCAACTACTGTGTTTCTTTTTTCTTCTCCCCAGTTTTATTAAGTATAATTGACAAAAATATAAACATTTAAGGTATACGATGTGATGTTTTGATATACATTGTGAAATGATTGTCACAATAAAACTAATTAACATACTTATTAACTCACAGAGTTGCCTTTTTTCTTTTTTTTGATGGTGAAAACATTTAAGATCTGCTCTCTTAGCAAGTTTCAAGTATACAATATAATTTTGCTTCTTTTTTAGTGGTAGGAGATGCACAGTGTAGTAACTTGTTTTTTTACCTTAGGAATATCCTGGCTTATTTCTTTGGATACCTTAAAAACTCATCCTCTGAGAGACAGCTGAATCTTTGTAAGATTTATATTTTATAACCTGGCAAGTATACATCTTAACCAGGAATTTGTGGGTTGAATTGTGTCTCTCTTTCCTCAAAAGAGATGCATTGTATAATATGCCAAAATACATCTACTTTCATGTATATTTAAAAAGAACAAATGAAAAAATATAAAAGAAAAATAAATAAATAAAAGAAAAAAGTGTGATGCATTGAAGTCTTAATTCCTGATGCTAGGGGTGAGACTTTATTTGGAAATAGAGTATTTTCAAATGTAATCAATTTAAGATGATACTGGAGTAGGATAGGGCCCTGATC